GCCTCCATCTGCCTGGCGTCTCCCCTGCAGGGAAGCTGAACCTGGTGGACTTGGCTGGTTCGGAGCGCGTTGGCAAGTCCGGGGCTGAGGGCAGCCGCCTGCGGGAGGCACAACACATTAACAAGTCGCTGTCGGCCCTGGGGGACGTCATTGCTGCCCTGCGCTCCCGCCAGGGCCACGTGCCCTTTCGCAACTCTAAGCTCACCTACCTGCTGCAGGACTCGCTCAGTGGTGACAGCAAGACCCTCATGGTGGTGCAGGTGAGGGCCTGGGGGTGGGGTGGGACAGGGCAGCCCTCGGCGTGGGGGTGTGGCCAGCACCCAGACACAGGCACCCCAGGGTGTGCACAGGGCCCCTTCTTATCAGCAGCTTGAGTCAGTGACGCCCCCCCTCGGCTCCCACTGCCCTGCATACACACCTGTGTGCCTCAGTCCCTCCACGCCTTCGCGTCATCTCTGCCACCTTGATTGCCCTCTGGCCTGCCCCTCTCAGTCTTGTCCAGGAAGCGTTCTTGCATCCCTGGGCCGAATGCCTTCGGACCGTACTGCCCCCTTCAGTTCCGTGGGGGTGTCCAGCTGGCCTGGGTGGGCGGTGAGCTCTCGCATCCCCTAGGTGTCCCCCGTGGAGAAGAACACCAGCGAGACGCTCTATTCCCTCAAGTTCGCGGAGCGGGTGCGCTCGGTGGAGCTGGGCTCCGGGCCACGCCGGGCAGAGCTTGGGTCCTGGTCGAGCCAGGAGCATCTAGAGGTACACGGACCACTACCGGCCGCCTCCGGCTGGCGCTGGGTCACAGGCAGGAGGACATGCCCATGAGGACAGCCTGGAGTGGTGGGGCGGGGGCTAGAACTTTAACCCAAACTCAGTAGCCTCTGTAGTCCACGTGTTCCTTCTTGGCCTCAGAGGTACTGTCGGGGTGATCGGCTGGTCGTGGGGGGTCTGCAGGCCTGGCTCATGTTTGGTGCTCAGTAATAACTAGTTTACGTCTGTACGTACGTCATCTCATCCTGGCAGTGACTGTGAGGCGGGGTATCATCATCACACCCATTTTGCAGACACGGGAACTGAGTTAAGGAAGCACAGTGGGGTGGGGTGGGGGAGCAGCCAGGGCCCCGCCCACCTGCCCGTCCCTGCTCACAGTGGGAGCCGGCCTGCCAGACCCCGCAGCCCTCCGCCCGAGCCCATTCGGCCCCCAGCTCCGGGACCTCGAGCCGCCCTGGCTCCATCCGCAGGAAGCTGCAGCCCTCAGGTGAGCCCGGAGGGAGTGGCCGGGGTGGCTGGTGGGTGGGGAACCTCCCCACAGGCTGCCCAGGCTGCCTTACCCTGGATGGGCTTTTTCTTTTCTTTCATTTTTAAACGTTTATATGATTTCTCCAGAAACCTGTTTGCCAGTCTCCCCTGCCCCTGGGAAGTAGTCAAGGCAGACTGTGCTGTGTCCATTTTACAGATGGGACACCCAAGGCCCCTGGAGAGGGGGTAGTGTAGGAAGAACCCAGCCTCCTAGTGGGCCTGCTGACCCAAGGCCCACCCGATTCTCCGAGGGTGGCTGGCTGGGCTCATGCAGTACCCCCTCCAGAGCAGGCCTGGCGTCCCCTGCCCCAGGCCTCGGGCTCCCTGGGGTGAGGGGGGTGGTGGAAAGGGCAGGGCTGGCTGCCTGTCCCCGATGAGGAGTGAGCCCCACCACAGGACTAGAATCCAGGGCTCCAGGCCCCACTCATGGAAGGGCCTGGCCCGTCCTTGAGTCCGAAGGGGTAGGGGAGCAGAGTCCCGTGGGGTCCTGGCCTAAGGCACGCCCACAGTGAGACGCCTGTCGCTTTGATTTCAGCCTGACGGCTGGGGCTGCAGAGTGTCTAGGTGAGTGTGGGGCCAGCGGCCCAGGGCTGCCCGCCTGCCTGCCCGCCTTGGGTTGCAGGGCTGTGCCGGGGAGTCCCGCGGCTCAGGGCTGGGGCCGTCCTTTCGCTGCCTGCTTGTCTGTGTGCTTCTGCTGGGCTCCCTCCTGCTCTCGGTGGCACCTGCCCTGGGCCACTGTCCGCAAGTAAGTAGCCAAGAGGCTGATGACCCTCGTGCTCCTGCAGGGAAGTCGAGGCCGATGCCTGTGTGATGGATGCGCCACCTGCCGGGCCGGGACCTGGTCCCCGAGGCCTTGCTGGTCTGCTCCTGCTGCAGCGCCAGGACCCCGGGAGGCGGAGGCAAGAGTGGAGGCTCCTCTTCTGCCCTGTCTCCCCTCAGAGATGAGAAACACGTTCGGAAGGAAACAGTGGCTCTCGGCTGTGGCTCTGGGTGCAAATGGCGTGGGCTGGAAGGGCAGGCCTGGGCTCTCCGAGAGCTGGGCCCTCGTGGGGAGGGCAGGAGTGTGGGAGGTGGGACTCTTGCCTGGGCTGGCCCAACTCCCTTCCCCGGCCGGCAGGGCTGGGCGCCCTCCTTAGGGTGGACTTAAGAGCCTCCAGGCGGGTACAGCAGCCATGGAACTGGGGCTGGTTGGTGGCACCAACCAGGGCAGCCCTGCCCACCACTGTCCCCTAAGAAGGGGACCCCACAGCTGGGCATGTACATAGTGTTCCTAGGTGTACATAAGGCAGGGCCCTCCTGCCTTGGGGCCGGGCTGTATTTATGGCTGGCAGGAGGCCAGTGGGCGGTACCCTCGTCTGCGGGCACCAGGCTCTCCTTGCTCACTGGCCTCTTGACAGTTTCCTCCCTCTGAAATCCTATTTAAGAACTTTTGGAAGCTTAGCCATTTTTACTTATTAAAATAAAAGCCTTTTACACAAGTATAGTCTGAAAGAGTTGGTCTTGTGACCCCCTCGGCCCGCTCACCGGGAGCAGGACGTGGGCGCTGCTGGCTCGTCACGCTGCAGACCTGTCCCCTGTCAGTGTCCCGAACACCTGGTCCGGGGGGAGCCAGCACTGCCCCCTATCTTGGGTAACTTTTTCTGTTGTTTACAGTCATAGTAGGCACCTCAAAAGGATAACTATGTGCCCAAGACAACTGACGGAACTAAGGCTCAAGAGAGCGTCAGAGGCTTGCTGCAACCACGGCTGGGCTTCCAGCCCTCCTGCCTGGCGCCACCGCCACCCTCTACCCTGGCCAGAAGCGAGCACCACCTTCCTCCCAGTGCCTAGGGGACCCCGACCACCGGTACAGCCCTCCTCACCCCTATCTCACCCCGGATGGTGCTGGCCTGCACCTGGCCCCAGCCTTGGCGGAACCTGTGCAGGGGCTCAGTGGGGTCTTCCCTCCCCGACTGGGGCTGAACCCCCAGCTGGCGCCTTGGGAGCAGGAGGGGCTCTACCTTGAGGAATGACCACTGGGGCAGAGAGCCCGCTCTGGCCGGCCAGCACTGGGGGCTCCAGCACACGGTGAAAGCTGTTCAGGCGGTGGGGGCAGCTGTCCTTCAGCCCTGCCCCCGGAGGCACTGGGGGGCGGGTACTGGGCTCTGGGCAAGGCTGGGGTCTTGGCACCCTGCGGTGTACAGCTGTTGGGTCTCCACCAGCCTTGGAGGAGTCCATGGGACAGCTGGGGGTGTAGATGGGGGTATGGGCTGGTGGGGCCCAGCCCTCACCTGTTTCTCCCAGCCACGGAGGGTGGTTCTGCCTCCCCTTCCTGCCCAGTCCGGCTGGACGGGCCCATCCCGGCAGGTCCTGCACTCTGCTGTCCCCTGCTGGGCGCACTGCCCACAGCGCTTGGAGGGGTGGTGTCATCTCTGAAGGGATCAGGGCAGGTGATCCTGGGCCTGGGAGAGCCTCGTGGCCAGAGGATAACGTTCCCCGCAAGGAAATCAGGGACTAGTTACAAATTTAATAAAATTTGCCTTATAAATTACAGCAGCAGTCCTGGGGCTCAGTTCGCTGCCCCAAGAGAAGCAAGAGTTGGGCAAAGCTGGGCAGCCGTTGCTGGAGAGGAAGTTGTCTCAGAGTTCCAGGGCTGTGGAGGTGACCAGTGGGCCAGTGCCGCTGCCTCCAGGACGCCCACGGGGCTGCAGCGGGGGCCGGGCAGAGGCTCAGGGGCCGGTGGGCACACAGGGAACAGGAGTGGGGGCTCAGGCCAGGCCCCCACCCCCTGGGTTCCTCAGTCCAAACTGGCCATGAGCAGGTGCAGCTCGCGGAAGGCACTGCCGTGGCGGCCACTCAGGCACGACTTGCTCTTGACGAGGCCACCGATGCTCTTGAGCTGCTTGTAGCAGAGCCGGCACTTGTGCAGCCTGGGGCAGGGAGGCAGTGCTGAGGGAGCTGGCCCCCCACCATGACCCCAGGCCACTCTGGGGCCCTTGCTGTCCTGACCACTCCAGCCCCTCCCCCGGGGGAAGGCGGAAGCCCAGGACTCACCTGGGCCACACCAGGGATTGGCGGAACAGCCAGGCCATGAAGGAACCCAACCCCACCTATGCCCTGAGCCACTGTTGCAGCAGGGCTGTCAATAGCAGGGCCCAGGCCTGCGTCCCCTTGCCTGCCATGGCACCCCCGCCCCTGACACACACACCGCCTGGCCCCTCACCTCTCCTCCCGGCTGATGTCCACGCCCACAGAGGGTGGCGCCGCCAGGATGTCAGTGATCAGGGGCAGGAACCTCTGCAGGATCAGCTTCAGGGAGGTGCAGCCTGTCTGGACGTAGCTTCAGGGGTAGATGGATGGATGGAGTCACAGATGAGACGGGGTAGGAGTGGGGCAGAGAGAGACAGGCAGACAGACACACAGGCCTGGTCCCGCCTTGACCCCTCTGGACCACAGCGGGGGCAGCAATACTTCACAGCCGCCTCACAGGGACACCCAGCCCTTGGGATCCTTCCTGTGGTCCCTGGGGAAGGCGTCTTGCCTCTCCCCGGCCATGCTGCGGCAGGTACCGCCTCCCACACATACCTCTCGTACTTGCTCTGCAGAAGCTTCTCGATCTGCGGCAGCACCGTGGTGCACAGGTCCAGCTTCCACAGCGAGCTGGGGGAGGCCAGGACATGGCGCTGTCAGCCCCACCCTGCCCCCCTGCCCACTCTCCCAGTGCAGCCACTTACGCTTTCTGGTTGACGATGTTGAGGAGGTCCACCACCACCGACAGGTCGTTGATGGCCACAGCAGAGTCCACTGATGTCTGTGCAAACAGAGCACCGTCAGGGAGTGGGGACAGTGTGGCCCCCGCGTGGGTGTGGTAGGCTGGTGGCATTTGTTGCGGGGTATTAACAAGACTACACCTAATATGAGTGCAAGGCCAGGCCTGTAAGTAGGTGCTCAATAAATGGCAGCTTGTGATGATGATGATGGAAGAGTCACAGATTATCATGGCGCGATGACAGGGGCTGCTCGGCCCCCACTTGTCTCTTGGGGCCTGTGCTGGGTTCAGCCCTAAGCCCAGGCTGCAGGGGGAAGGGGGAGGGTGCTTGCCTTGATGTCGCCCGTGGTCCACACAGCCCGCACGCTGTCCAGGTTCTTATGGCGGCTGGTGAGCACCACACACATGGTGTCGTGGCCTTTGCGGATCTGTGACATGGCATCCTCGTCCACCAGCTCCGTCTGCTGGGGGATCTTCACGGCCTGCGTGGCACGGGCACCCAGACGCTGACACGGGCGCAGGCAGCAAAGCCCTGCCCTGCCCTTGCCCCACAGGCCTCCACCCCAGCCCTGGCTGGGCCCCCACTCACAGGCAGGAAGTCGGAGGCCTTGAGCCCGATGGGCTCGTTCCGGGTGGCAGGGATGATGGCTGGCTCGGCCTTGGGTGCGGGTGTGGAAGTGATGACCGGGGGTCCGGGTGGGACATCGAGCTGAAGGGGTCCGAAGCACAGTCAGCAGCCAGCCGGAGACCTCCTCTCTGCCTCCCAACACGGGGGTCTCCCAATGCCAGACCCTCTGAGAGCCCCACGCCACGCCCGTTCCACCGGACGTACATTTGGCATCGGGAACTGCACGTCCATGGCTGGGCTGGGCTTTGCGGCCTCCTTGGCTGTGGCTGTGTCTAGAGGCAAAAGGAAAAGCCCGCTGGGTCAGGCTGGGCATGGCGGGGGGGAAGGAGGGACAGGCTCGAGGGAACCCAGCAGCAAGACGGGGAGTGAGACGACAGTCCCGAGGGGAAAGCCGAGTGGAGGGGAGGGATGCCTTGTAGGACGAGGAGCTCCACCCCTGCCCCTTCTCCAGTCATAAAGCAGACGTTTTCTCCCTTAAGCCCCAAACCCCCTGCTCGGGCCTTGTGGGTCTGGCCTCCCTGCCCCTCTTGCCGACCCCCTTCCCGCCTGAGGCCTCCCCGCGCCTCGCCTGGCCTGACGAGGCCGGCTGGTGCGCAGCCTCCTCAGAGCCTCCTGACTGCTGGTCTACAGCAGGCCCCAGGGACTCCTCGCTGTCCCCTACAACACACATCCCCCCCACCCCCGCCATCGACCATCGGTGTGGCTGGCGCCTACTGTTTGCTCTCCACACACGAGATGTGGGTCCTGAGGGGCGCGCCTGTCTGCCTCGCTCACGCTCAATCACGAGGGCCTTGCGTGGGGCCCGGCACACAGTAGGTGCCTGTAGACAGGCGGAGGGAACAGACCCAGCAGGAGAGGGAGCCTGGGCGGAGGGGTCTGGGGCAGGTCTTGGGCTCAGAGGCCGCCCGGCAGGCCAGGCTCTGCCCCGACTCACCGTCCTCTGGCGGTGCTGGGAAGGGCTCACTTGTCCGGGGCGGCGTCCGACCTGCAGAGGCAAAGGGGGTCCTGTGTGTGAGCCCTCCCGGCCGGGCCTGCCTGGGACCCAGGGCCCTGTCAGCGTGCGGGGGACGGGAGATGGCTCCCCGGTACCCGGCTGCAGACCCCTGGCCCTGCCCCCCACAGGCCCTCCCTCTACCCAGGGCAGGGTGAGGAGCAGCTGCCGGGCCTGGCTGGCGAGCACCAGCTTCCTGTCCTCAGTCCCACAGGAGCACGAGGACGAGGGCCTGGGCCCCAGTGTGGGTTAGGGATGAGGCTAAAGGGACCCTCCGCCTCCGTTTCACGGACGGGACACCGCGCTGAGGGGAGCCCGGCCTCACTGATGCTGTTCTTGGGCTGGAAGATCTCGTTGTAGTCCTCGGCGTTCCGGATCTCCGCCCGCGACTCCCGCTCGTCCCGGTCGTCCTCGCTGCTGGGGCTGCGGCGCTCGCTCTCCGAGTTCTGCTTCACCCTGGGGGTGCAGGGCCGAGCCAGAAGGAAGCAGGGCCCCCGTGAGGCCCGGGGCTGGGCCTCCTGGGGCCTCCCCTGTGATGGGCCTGCTCCTGCACACCCCGTCCCCAAAGGGCGCCCCAGCACCCCACCTCTGAGGCTTGCTGCAGGTTGTGCTGGGCCGCTCATAGATGCGCCGGAGGGGGGCGCTGGGGTTGGGCGGCAGCTGCGCCAGGGGCCGGCTGTCCTGCACGGGGTCCTGGGCCACTGTGCCTGTCCTGGTGACCCGTGTCAGATCCACCACGTAAGAGGAGACGTTGCTCTGGGAGAAGGCCACGCCTATCTGTGGGAAGTGGCAGAGCTGGGGCGAGGGCTGGAGGGGCCAGATCCCAGCAGGGGGAGCGGGAGTGGGGGACTCCGGGTGGACGCAGGCGGGTGGCCCAGTGGAAGGGTGGGCGGTAGGTGCGATGGCTCTCTCACCAGCTGGTCATTGCAGATGGCCAGGTCGGCCACCTTGCCCCAGTTGACGAGGACCACATCAAAGCAGCGCTCGGGCTCCCAGCCGTAGACGCGCAGAGAGTCCTGGCAGCCGCTGTACAGGCAGCAGCCGTCGGGGTTGAAGAGGACGCTCCTGCGCCAGGCGAGAGTCGGTGTGGGTCCAGC